TTTTCCTATTGAAAAAATTAAGTTTTCAAGTCAGATTGTCATACTGACCATGTCTTTTTCCTTTTTTTTCAATTCAGGTATTTGCCTAAACTGGAACTTATGGTGTAGCTATTTCTTTGTGGATTTGTCTGAAAGCCTAAGGTGAGATGTTTTATAAATGCATTTGCCTTTTAAAATATATTCTTACAATGAGAAAGAATTGTCTCTGAAAAATTTAAAGCATCACCAAATGTCTTTTACTCTGAGAATTTTAATGAGAGGCAAATATTTATTATTAAGCTACACATATAACATGCTTACTTTTAGTTTGTAGGACATTTTATTGAAAGAAATGAAGCCGGTTCTAGCAATTAAATTAGTTTTGAGTTATAATAAATTTTCCATTGTTTTTAATAGTCAAAGATGGAGTTCACCCTGCTGTTCTCAGACACACACTTGAGAAAGATACTGGCATTGTAACTGATATTCTTGAAGGCAGATCCTCAATTAGTTAAGCCATAGATTAGAACAACTGATAACTATTTTAATAGGCCAGTTATTAAGAGTTTTCTACCATTTTATTCAACTGGACTTGATTATTTTCTGTAGTTTCCTCTGTTTGGGGGGCTTTTAGCAGAGCCATCCTGCCACATGTTGGCAGCTCAGCGGCTGCTCAGCTTGGGCTGGGAATCGAAACGGCAACCCTGTTGCTCAGAGCTTGCACTCTTGAGCAATCTCTTAACTGTTTCTTTTGTTAATGGACCATCATAAGTCAGTCATCGGGTCTTTCCACCTTGAGTACAACTGTTCTCGAAGCCATTCTCATCATAGTTACCCTGGTCCTTTTTCTGCAAAATCAATGTCATTATGTTAGTTTGTGATTCAGAATTCTCCAGTATGTTTACATTGCTTTAAAGGATATTTTACAAATTCCTTTATAGAGCAATAAAATCTGCTCCTTATCCATTTTTCCATCTCACTAGTGTCCTAGGAATGTTATGAACTAACATTTTTAAAAGCAGCTTTATTAAGAAATAATTTATATACCATAAAATCCACCCATTTATTTAAAGTATACAACTCAGTGGTTTTTCTTATATTTACAGAGCTGTGCAACCATCATGACAGTCTCACTTCAAAGAGACATCGGTACTTCTTAGCAGTTACTGCTCATTCCTCCCTCCACTCATCCCTGTCAGCTACTAATCTGCTTTCTGCCTCTGTAGATCTGCCTGTTCTGGACACTTCCTATAAATGGAATCACACAATATGTGGTCTTTTGTGCCTTATTTCTTCCACTTAGCATAAGTTTTCAAGGTTCATCCATGTTTTAGCATGAGCTATATTACTTCATTCCTTTTTCTAGCTGAATAATATTCCATTGTATGTGTTAGGAGCTTCCAGGTGTCAGGATAGCTTATTAAAGATGAGCCCAAATCAAAGTCACAGTCAAACCTTTATTCCCTTACTGAGACAGCATAAGTAGGAGGCTAAACCTGAGACAGTGCCTGGTCTCTCCCCCACACCCATCCTCAGGTGGGTCAGCATGGGGTGGGGCTGGGGGTGCAGAGGTCCTCTCACTGCTGAAGGAGCCCCAAACAAAAGGTTCCTGCAGTTTAGTGGACTCAGGGCTGGTTGGAGGGTGAGGTGGAAAAGTACTAAGAGGGGAGAAAAAGTGTCTTCTATGTTTCCTCCCTGATGAGGAGGTGGCCTCGACTGAGACACCTGCAAAAAGGCTTCAGCTGAAGGCCACTTACAGAGATTCTGAATGAGGGCACCTGGGCTAGGAATGCGGCTCTGCTTAAGATCACCATCAGTAGGGGACCGCGTCCCCGTCTGGTCCCATGCTGCAGCTCCCTTCAGAGACTGCTGTGCCGGTTGACTGGCTGGTGTGGGGAGGGCCGCTTTCCCATGAGGGGCCTGCCAGGTAAAGCTTTTTTACTGTTCATAGTCGAGCTAGACAAGTCACACATAGGCTTCCTGGTCAGGAGCCGGACTCTTCAGTATATGTATACCATATTCTGCTAATGCATTCATCGGTTGGTGGACATTGGGCTTCCATGTTTTGGCTATTATGAGCATTTTGCTATGAATGTTGTGTACATGTTTCTGTGTGGAGATGTTTTCATTCTTCTTGGGCATATACCTAGGAATGGAATTGCTACGTCATATGATAATTCCATGTTTAATATTTTGAGGAACTGCCAAACTGTTTTCCAAAGAGACTATCATTTTACATTCCCACCAGCAATATATGAGGGTTCCTGTTTTTGTATTCTTACCAACATTTGTTATTGTCCTTTAAAAAAAAATAAATTATAGCCATTTTAGTGGCTGTGAAGTGGTATCTAATTGTGGTTTTAATTTGTATTTCCCTAATGACTGATGATGTTGAATATCTTTTCATGTGTTTGTTGGCCATTTATTTGTATATCTTCTTTGGAGAAATATCTACTCAAATCCTTTGCCCATTAAAAAAATTAGATAATTTATCCTGTTTTTGTAAGAATTCTTTGTATGTCCTGGATACAAGTAACTTATGAAATCTATGGTTTGCAAATATTTTCTCCTATTTTGTTGTTTTTCACTTTCTTGATATTGTCCTTTGAAACACAAAAGTTTTAAATTTTATCTCTTTCTTTTGTTGCTTGTGCTTTTGGTGTTTTATCTAAGAAACCATTGCCTGATTTGAGGTCCTGAAGATCTAATATTTTCTTTTTTTTTTTTTTTAAGATTTTTATTGGGGAATTGAGGGATGGGAACAGCACTGGGGAATTGGGGGAAGGGGAACAGACAAGTTGCTGTCCTTTTGTTCTTCAGTCTAGTTGTGGAGGACGTTGCTTCACTGGNTGTTTGGTGTTACCACAAGGGATACGATAAAGGCTTGAGTTCCTTGTGAACAGATTATTTGCTTCAAAGACGGTTTTGAAATAATGGTTTAAGTTTTTTGATGGCTTCATTTTTACATTTTCAAGAAATGTTACTTATCTTCTTTCTACTCTCTGTTACTCTGGATAATTAGAAAGGAGGTGTATTTTCAGTGAAATTTTTCAGCATATTATATCCCAGTATTACTTCAGCAAGTGTTTAGAAAGCATCTACTAAGCCCTAGGTATGAAGCTCACTGCTCAAATATTTCCTGTGTTACATCCTTCCTTGTTGATTATAGCTTGTTAGTTATATGCATAAGCTATTTCTACTTGATTAACATAATACTTCTTGTTTTCTTTCTTCAGTGCCCTGTCTTCATTGTCACATTTATCTTTTTCTGTGTCTCATTTGTATTTCTGTACAATTTCTTAGTTTTAAACACTTTTTTGGTTGTAAAAACTTTTAATCCTAAGTAAATTCCTAAATCTCATAAAAAATTTAAATAATTATCAGTGCACATAATCCTTAAACATATTCACACGTAATTCAAAATACATAAATTAAAAACTCATGATACATGTTTAGTATTAAACATTGTAGAAATTTTAAGCTTATTTTCAGCAAGTTTAGGTAAATAAATATCATTAATGCAAACAGTTCTTGAAGATAGTGCTGACACACCTGTCATTTGTCAGTATAAAGAGAACACACATGATATATAGATGAGGTATTAAAGAATTGTACATTTGAAACCTATGTAACTTTACTAACCATTGTCACCCCAATAAACTTTAATTAAAAAAAAGAAATAAAGAAAAAAGATGACATGCAGGTGTGGGGTGCAGATTGTAGATCCTTGCACGTTCCCTGGCTGCATGATCACTTGCAAAGCATGTCTAGCTGGGCTTGGGGAAACGCCCTCGGGCAGAAATATCCCTCCACCACTTAGAATGCTGTTTGTACCCGGAGGCATGCAGTCAATACTGAATGAATAAATTAACAAAACCTCAAACTAATTCTTGGTTTCAAGTTCTGGTTCTTAGTAAGATATTATGAACATAAACAAAAAAATGCATACTTAATTAGAGCATTTCGAACATACAGAACATATGGAAAAATTAAAATTAGCCATAATCTTTATGCTAACAAAAGTACTATTAAATTGTATCTCTAGTCTTTTTCTCTGTAAATGTATTTAATATACATAATTCACATTACTCAGTAGATGAGCATTTTCCTGTCATTAAACATTTTTTATTTTATTTTTGAAATCAACTTTAGTAAGATACAGTTTATGTGCAGCAGTTTGATTAGCTTTGACTAATGTATATATTTCTGTAACCACTACCATCATCAAGATATAGAACATTTCTATCACTCTTAAAAGTTCCTCTTAATCCCCTTTGCAGTCAGTTCTTTCACACAGCCTTTAGCTCTTAACGCAACTGATCTGATATGTGTTACTATTGATTAACTTGGCCTAATCTAGACTTACACATACAGGAAAATTCAGCAGAGATTAGAGTTCCACATATGCCCTTTATATAGTTCCCTTTTAGTCATAAAGAGATTTTGATATATAATTTTAATGATTGGTTATTCTAACTTATTAACTAATCATTTGGATATTTAGGTTGTTCTAGTTCTTTACAGTCATAAATGAGCTATAAGTCTTTGGATTTTTTATTATTTAGGACAGATTTCTGGAAGAGAATTTACTAGGTCAAAGGGTTTGAACTTTTTAATTTTTAAGGCTCCTGTGTTTTGCAAAATTTCTTTCTAGAAAGATTTTAACATCTTACACTACCATGAACAATGTGCAAAGATGCCTATTATATTGTATTATTATATAATATAATATATATAATGACATAATATAACATAATGTAATAATATATATTATGTTATTACAGTATCATTTGTAGCTGCCACTGTAAGCCTACATTATGCTGTAGTAACAAACAACCTCCCAAATCTGAGTGGCTTAATACAAGAAAGTTAATTTTTTGCTCATGCCCCTTGCCTAACATGAGTTGGGGGTCCTCTGTCTTGGAGTCATTTAGTAAACTAGCCTGATCAGAGCTCCATTGGTTATGTGCTTCCCTAATCGCTGCTTCACTAGGTAGGTCTCCCAGTTGTGTACTGGTTTCTACAACTTGTGCTTGGTAGTGTTTCATATCATGTCTATGCAAGTCACATAGTTACACCTAAGTCGAAACAGGGCAATCCAGCGAAGCCTGCGAAGGAGAGCTGAAACAGCACAATGACTAACATCATATTCAAAAAGCAACTCTAATTTCATTGGTGGAAATGATATCTCATTTTAATCTGATTTTCTTTGCCAAAGTAGATGAGCATTTTCATAATTTACTAGCCATTTGTTTTATTTAATCTTCCCTTTAATCTAAGCCTTATAAACATGTGCTGTTGGTTTTACTTTTACATTTCCAGATTTTTGATTTTTATAATTTTTGTTAGGATGGGAGGTCATGATGAAGATATAGGGAGTGCCGACTTTTAGAAAATGCGGTTTTTGTTTGTTTGGTTTTTTTTTTTAAGACTCGAGCAGGGCAAAGACTTGACCTTCCCACCCCCTTTAATATATTATATGTTTTAATGAGTATTTTATTTCAAGAATTGTCAAAACTTTAAATAATTATAGGCACTAAAAAGTCTCTAGCCGAATTAAGATTCTTGACTTCTACAGTTTTCTAAAGAACAACTTGAACACCAAAGTTTAGCTGGTAAATGATCAAGTTAGGATTTTCCTATTGAAAAAATTAAGTTTTCAAGTCAGATTGTCATACTGACCATGTCTTTTTCCTTTTTTTTCAATTCAGGTATTTGCCTAAACTGGAACTTATGGTGTAGCTATTTCTTTGTGGATTTGTCTGAAAGCCTAAGGTGAGATGTTTTATAAATGCATTTGCCTTTTAAAATATATTCTTACAATGAGAAAGAATTGTCTCTGAAAAATTTAAAGCATCACCAAATGTCTTTTACTCTGAGAATTTTAATGAGA